TTGTGAATATATATTGGTCAGATCTAGGCAGTTTGCAGAACAGACTGCAGCTTAAATATATACATAAATCTATTAAAACGATAACAGTAAGTTACAATGTCAAGGAAACGCATAAAATACTTGTTAGAACACAGCCATGCATGAGTTAATCAACAGTGGAATAGGATATGTTTTTAGTACGGCTAAAACAAGTTAAGATTTATACAGTCCTTAATTTTAAGACATCTGTGTTAAAAAAATAATAAATGGTTGTGGCCCGAGCAGAAACAATCTCCTCTGACTAAATAACTCCACATGACTTCACATGAACAAGTGTAAAACATTTCTCTCTCAAATATTTCCTTACTCATGGACAAAAATGTTTCAGCGTGTATTTTAAGATGTTAATTTAATTTTTAATATTTAATATTTAATTTGAATTAAAGGAGTTTTTTAACACCATCAGATCCAGGGTTGGTTGTTTGCTTTAGTGTATTTATCACATTTAGATTAAGATTACACAACAAAAGCATTATGCATAATAAGAGTTTACTTAAAAGAAAAAAAAATTGTAATTTGTTTTGACATTTCAATTTTGAACAGTAACATGGAGCTTTACAGCAAAAGTTAGACCAAAAAATAAATAACGGGAAACCTAAGGGCTTCAGATGAAGGTACAAAGTCCACTTTGAGTTTAATTGCAGCAGGTGGGGTCTATGGTGGAAGGGGTGCAGTGGAGGCTTCACAGGTTGTGGGCCACAGAAAAGTTTGAGGACAATATTGAAACCTGTGTGAATTTTTCTGTGAACAGCATAGCAATTCTACTTATCTCTCTCCCCCTCCTCCCCCCCCCCTTCCCAGACATTTAAAACATAGAAGGGAGCTAATGACTACACAATTCAGCATAAGGGATTTGAACTAAATTGATAACAGTATGTTTATCTCTGAAAAGTGTACTAAAACGATATGTTTATCTCGGAAAAGTTAACGAAAGAGAAACATGTAAAAGCACAAAGGAAATAATTTCTGTAGAACAATTAATAAAACAGATTTAAATAAACCTACCATGCATAAGGTATGACGTATAAGGCAATAAACTTAAATTTTATTTATAATTATGGCCCCAGAATAAACTTGAGTTGCTGTTTTTATTATCAGTCCACCTTGTAACTATCAATAAACATTTTTTATGTTGTTTTTTTTTCAATACTTCTAAAAACATTGGGTTCTTTGGTCTTGAAAAAGATTCAGGAACTTTTTTTTCTAAATGGAAAGTGCCCTTACCTTGAAAGTTAACAAAAAACTTTCCTGGTATACTACTATTTGGACAGTGTTGGGGTGCTCTGTATGACATGCGGCATCACATTAGACATTTATTAGGACATCCTACAGAAAACAGGATTCATTAATTTTAATTAATTTGTCTGCTGTACAACACACTGTCATCTCAAAGAATATGTGTCCCATCTTCACTGCATCTGTCCCTGAGTCTTACATATAGATCTATAAAAGTTCTTCTGAAGCATTACAAACTATGTTAAATTTATTCAAAGAAAATCTCCCCCAATCTTTTTCAAAATTCTATCACATAAAATGCTAAACAATCAAGCAATGTTAAAATTAACTGTTTAAAAATGGATTAATTAGACACCAACAATTTGTGTCAATATAACAATGTAAGGTAAGCTTTAATAATAATTTTACAGAACACAAAAGTATACGTTTCGGCACATGCCTTCATCAGTACAACAAAAAGACAATTAAATAAGTATAAATTACATTTACATATTATATATATACAGATATCCTACCTATGGAAGGGGAGAAGAAATAGGAGTTGGCGAAGAAACAGGCAGAAACAAAGTAAAGAAAAGTGGAAAGGAAGTGATTTGGACAAAAATGTAAAAACCAAACAGGAAAAAGACATGGTAGCTTGGTAAAATTGTGGATTTAGTTTATTCCAAATGGAGACAACGTACCAAAACGTGTTATTAATTTATTCTCCATATAAATCCTATCTGTTGTGGTACTAGTATACAATATACCAGTAACTGAGATGTCTGAGATTCCCTCATGGTTAGGACCATTGAAATATGTGGAGACCGGACAGAGAGCTTTTTTATTAATGTTATAGAGGTGTTCTCTGAACCGGTCTCCAAGGCGACGACCTGTCTCTCCTATGTATACTTTACAGCACTTTTTGCAAATGATGGTGTAAATCACATTGCGACTTGTGCAGGTAAAGCCATCTGTTATTCTGAATATTTCCAGAGGGAAAGTGATCTTATCACAGTCTATCACATAGGGACATGTGTTGCAATGGCTACGGTTGCAACTTTTGGTGCCTTTATGTGCTTTGATAGTGGGGAGGTGGCTTCTAACTAGCATGTCCCTAAGGCTCTTGTCCCTCTGGAAAGCGAAAAGAGGAGGTTTTCTGAAAATCTCATTTGTGACCGGGTCTGCCATCAGAATTTAGAGTTTTTTCAGAACCAGAAAACGAGCTTTAAGATTATGGGGATGAAAAGTTAAAATAAATTTAGACCTATCCCTAGCGTCAGAACGAGTGGCTTTAAAAGTATCCTGTCTAGTCATACCTTTAACTCGAGTGACAGCTGCTTTTAAAATTTGTTCAGGATATAACCTGCATCGGAAAAAATCCAACATTTCAGCCGCCCTTTCCCCAGAATTCTCATCATTGCTGCAGAGTCTTCTCAATCTTAGCAGCTGAGAAAAAGGGATGGAGTTTTTGCATGATTTAGGATGGGATGATGAATACAGTAAGAAACTGTGACTGTCTGTTTTCTTATATAAAATGTACGTAGATAGGATGTTCTCTTTAAGGTTAATTTTTAGGTCCAAAAAGTTGATAGTACTTATGTGGATCGTTGAAGTGAATTTGATTGTTGGATGAAAATGTCCAATAAGTCAATAAAAGTTTCTAGTTGTGATATGTCCATATTGGTAATCCCTATGCAGTCATCTATGTATCTCCTGTAGTATTTTGGGAAGGGACCTTTGTAGTTTTCTCGCCAAAGATTTTCCAAATAGCCCATAAATAGACATGCATAACTTGGTACCATTTTTGTTCCCATAGCAACGCCACTGATCTTATAAAAAAATTTGCCATTAAATTCAAACGAGTTAAGCTGTAAAACCAGTTCTGTCAGACGTACAAGTGCATTTGTTGGAAATTTAGGATTAGGATTCTTATTCAGAAAAAAATGAAATAGCGGTGAGTCCATCAGTGTGGGGAATTGAAGTGTGCAGTGAAGAAACGTCCATTGTAAAAATTGAATGGGTTTCATTAGGTAAAACCAAGGACTCGAGAGATTTGATCATGCGGTTAGTGTCCTTAATATATGATGGCAAACTTTCAACCATGGGCTGGAAAATTGTATCCAAAAATTCCGAAATCATTTCAGTAGGACAAGAGCAGGCTGAGACAATAGGTCTTCCTGGACTTCCTTCCTTGTGAATATTTGGTCATAAATCATAAATACAAACATGGTTTACCAAGATCACTATTATAAATTCATAAGTTTGAGGAAGACGCCGGTAATTGGCCAACTTGAATGAGGTCTTCAATAGTATTCTTGACAATTTCATTATTCTGGACAATGGGGTCGTTGGACCTCGGTGTGTAAAAGGTTCTATCTTGTAATTGTTTGGAGGCCTCTTCAATGTATAGCTTCTTAACCCAAACTACAACAGCTCCACCCTTGTCTGCCCGTTTAATAATGATATCCTGACGTTTTTTAATTTGAGAAAGTGCTTGCCATTCTTGTTTCGAAGTTTGATTTGTGAAGTGGACCTTGGCGTAGATTTTTTTATTTCATTCTCTGTACATTTAATGTAAAGGTCAAGTGCTTTAGATTGATCACGTGGAGGTGTCCATGTAGATTTCAGAGAACACCTCTATAACATTAACAAACAAGCTCTCTGTCCTGTCTACAAACATTTCAGTAGCACAATATATAGGATTTACATGGAGAATAAATTAATTATACGTTTTGGTATGTTGTCTCCATATGGAATAAACCAAATCCACAATTTTACCTAGCTACCATGTCTGTTTCCTGTTTGGTTTTTAAAATTTTGTCCAAATCACTTCCTTTCCACTTTTCTTTACTTTGTTTCTGCCTGTTACTTCGCCGTCTCCTATTTCTTCTCCCCTTCGATAGGTAGGATATCTGTATACATATAATATGTAAATGTAATGTATACTTATTTAATTGTCTTTTTGTTGTACTGATGAAGGCATGTGCCGAAACGTATACTTTTGTATTCTATAAATTATTATTAAAGCTTACCTTACATTGTTATATTGACACAAATTGTTGGTGTCTAATTAATCCATTTTAAAGCTTTATCTCAGTCCAACACTTTTTATAATGAGTTAGTTAAAAATGGATGCAGCCTTTATGCTAATAAACCCAACATTGCAAGTGAATACATAAAAAAAAAATCATATCATGGTTTTCAGACCAACTGTCTCGTTACTTGTACTGGTAGTTTGAGAATCCTAACATAAAATCAAGACTAGAATTTTATTAGATTATACAACAAAAATATTTCTAAAATAATATGATATTGCTGAAAGACTTCTATCACTAAGGCAGTATATCTTATTGTTTCAACTCCATGCAAAAGACATGACATTTTACTATATACATATATTTTACATGTGCATTATCATTTAATGCAAATTGGCACCGGTTGATTAGATGTGCAGTACTTGACTTATAATCTATTTAATATTGAGCAATAAGGAGCCGTCTGAAATGTTGAGTTCTGGGATATAATAATAATAATAATAATAACAATGATGCCAGTCTTGAAAGTGTGTGACTGGCTGAGAAATGAGTAGTTGTGTAACAATAGGTGTGACTACACCCAGTGATCTGAGTCAAGCTACCAGATCTCAAGGGAGGTAATCCATGGCAGACATTCGGTGGACGAATGAAAATAAATGTTGTTACAACTGTTACACGTGGATGGGTTGCGGAACTATTGCACCCAAGTTAACCAAACGTAATCCAGCGCAGCATGAGATTGAAAATGGCATCGGATCCTTGCGTGGTCAAGCTGTCACAATTGATGTCGAACAAGTAAGAGAAGGTGCCTCGGGGGGTGGTCTCGATATGCTCCCTGCCGCCAGGACCGCCAAAAGGGCCGTACTTTCTACCCAAGTTTGTTTTGAAACTAAGCCTGTCGATGAGATAGCCGCTGCCAATGACCACTTCCACAATAAGCTCATTGGGCTCCATCTCAACGACATGGTGCTGAATGGCATGGTTGCAATCCCCTTTGAAATACTCCAGGTACCTGCCTTGTGATTTAGGTTTTCGATAAACTAGCTTTAGCCCACCAATCACAGGACGGCCGTCCCATAGCCTGATCCACAGATCAATTTTATGGATTTCAAGATTCGGGTCGTTGAACAGGTAGCCTGGAGCAATTGGACTTCTCATCAGTTGACCTTCCGCTGCATATCGAACACGACCATTTGAGACAGAAAAAGAAGCCAGCTTTCTAGAGCGGAACCAGGTGTCCGGTACTTCCAGGGCCTCTGAGCTTATATCCGTTGTTAGGGAGTAGCTCCGTCGCCTTTTGTCCAGGTATTTCACAGCCACCTCTCGAAGCTTCAGCAACCTTTTGATGGTCTCGTTCTTTTTAAACTGTTTGAAATTTTTGATAGATTTCTTCATGGCATCTTTGGGAATTTCAGGAAGTCTCACGGTTTTAAAAAGTATCTCAACTGTTGCAGGCTCCTGGATCTTTCTAACAGACAAATATCTTAGCACTGCGTTGAGGACAAGCTTCTCTCTCTCCACAGACTTCAGCACAATCTTATTGTGGTACAGAACTAAATTATCGTCCTCTAAGAGCTTAATTAAAAATTCCGGATCCAGCTGAGAAAACCCATTGGTTTTGGAGACATCCTCCAAGTTCTCTTTCAAGAAATCAATGGCCAGATCTTCCAGATTATTCATGGAGTAGTTCATTGCAAACACCAGAGCATCGCAGACATTTTCAAATTCTAAATGTGCCCCCATGAAGCTGCCGCATTCTTGCTTGACGAACTCGATGCTGAGGTAATCGGCTGCAATTAGAACACTCTGGACGTTGTCACTGGTCACATCCACCTGACCAGTGTAAGCGAACTTCAAGAGTACGGCAAAGTCCTGAGGCGCTATGTTGTGAAGTGTTACTTCGCCAGACTCTCTTTCATCAATCTGTGAATTCAAAGGAGATCTTTACATTACTGGTAATAACATATTTAGCTTTCAATTGCAAACTCAAAATAATTTTAACTATTAAATCATTACCCAAATGGATTCATTCATACTCAGACTAACTGCCACTTATTCCAGACAACTCCAAACATGGGAAAAGAAACCTCACCCAAGTCAAGTTCAATGAAAAAATGTTTTAAAATATTGTTATTACTAATATTACATAGAAGTCAGATGACTAAAGTAACTTTCCCACTGCTGATTAATTGCAGCTGCAAATGTCAGTGATAAATCAATGTTGAGAATCCACTGCAATTTGTTGATGGTGACAATCTCCAGAAACTGATGGCCGAAACAGATGCAGGGAAAAATATGTTACTTTTTTTATTGCTTAAATTCATTCATTAATTTCATTTTTTGTTAAAAGCCATAGTTCCTGACAGCTTTTTTTTTTTTTTACCATTACCACTCTTAATAAAAACTTGAAATTTATTTCACAAATTTTTATGTTCCAGCTAAACATTAAAAAACACTAATGGTAGGACTAGTATTTATTCATCATCATCATCAGTGGCACTACAGCCAATGTAGGGCTCTGGCCTGCTCCATCACATCCTTCCATTCGGTGCGATCCATGGCTTTCCGCCTCCATGCACGATCCCCCAACTGGTGTATATCCATCTCCTTGTATTTATTACTAATAATTTGTAAACATGCCCCGACACCTCTTGACAATGCATACTTGATGATAAAAATATAAATAATAATAATAATAATAAGAGGTCTTATATAGCGCAGAACCCCAGCCTAGGGCTGGGCTCACCGCGCTGTACATAAAAATGTTATCAAAAGAGACATAATCATGACATTAAAATAAAATACATTTATGAAATAAAGAACAGCAATGTATATTCACCCACCCCACCACATAACTTTTATGATAAAAATATGACAGAGTTGCGTTTGAATATTGCCAGCCAACATTAAACTACAACTCTTAACAAATCCATGAAAATCCCTCCTGTTGGCCCCATCTTTTATTTACACACTTGTAATAAATTTATTTGAGGTAAAAATCACCTCAAACACCATGTACATAGACTGGTTAATCTTATCATACGGTAACAAATATAATCAAGTAGGTTATTTTGTTCTCATTGAAGAATCTCTCTTGCATAGATCGACATGTCATCATAAAGAGTTATACCACAAAGAGGCGATCTCTAGCTTTTTGACTGAAGTTGTCCTCATTCCCTTATCCCCCGTTTCCAAATCTTGACTCACTTTACTTACCTTAAACAAAGCGGGGAAATAGTCAGATACGGAAGCCATGACAAGGCGATGGGCAGCGAATCTTTGTTGCCCAACCACAAATGTTACGTCCGTGTATAGCCCCATCTGCCAGCTTTGAAAAGCAACCTTGAAGAGCTTCGCTTTTCTCTGGTTGGAAAATTTGAAAAATTATGAAGCAAACATTATTTTTGGAACAATTTAAACAAATAAAAATTAAATTATAACATTTGTGTGTCTTTTCACGTTTAATAGACCATTATACCAGGACTTGACATGAGGAGGTTTTCAAACAGCAACCAGTCAACAAGTTCAAAGTGGGGGGGGGGGCACAACCTTCACTCTATAAATGTGCCTGTATCATTTTTATGGGACAAGGAAATAGTGCGTTATTTGAATGCATGTTTTTGTCAGTAGCTTTAGCAGATGGAAAGTTCCTGCATTGCCGACACCACTGTTTTGCAGGTATTTCTAGTTTAAATACTATTAATTGAAATTTAAGATTTTAAACAACAAAAGAATGGGACTAAAAATGGAGGTAAATTTTAGGACCACTAGTTAGAAAATATTTGATTGATTCCATATGGTGATGAAAATCTAAATTAATTTGTTTTCATTTTTCACTTTTGTTGGTGCATTAGTGTAAAAACTCAGTGCCGCGATGCATGCATCAGATGTGCCTTTGTGTTCAGCTCTTTTGAAATTGAATGCAACCAGGAATGGCTTGTACTGTTCAATATCACAAATATGGATGTCACTATTGTAAGTGTGATGTTCCTTATGCTTTCCTCATCATATTAATTAGTAGCCAATCAAACTGCACCTACCAACTGACCAGGGCCGAGTAATATTCATAGGGTATCTTCAAATTTGGGTATATGTGGAAATCTTGTGTATGTGGCAATTGCAGAGAGAAATAATTATACATCATTTAGATAGAATGGTCAATTTTTCTAAAACTGTGATCAATGCATAAGGAGAATCACTAGAGAAAATTATTTCACCCAACGTAATCAAGAAGGTAACATTTTAGCAAATAAGAGTTAGTAGTGACTTTTTGGTGATATCTACAAGCCTACCGTTACATCTTTCTGTAGACCAGTAGCTTCATTACAGCGGTGTGATACATTCCAGCTAGCCACAAGGCCCTCCTCCTCATCAACGTCAGACATGGCCGCATATTTTTTCAACTGGAAATATATCATGATAAAAAGTTCACAATTTTGCATTATTATCTTATCAAGCTATTGGGTTGCTGGGTGGCCGAGCGGTCTAAACTGTCTCAAACCAAATAGCCGGTGGTTCAATCCCCACCAAAGCCATCCCAAGCACCCCGGGTGGATGGAACTCGTTAGCCTTGGACGGCAACCCATCTAAGAGAAGGCAAACTCTGAATTTAAACCAGGAGCCAGAATGATCAACAAATTGATCGTGGGCCCCTCAAATATAAGAAGAAAAAAAAAAAAGCTATACTTAATCATTTTTAATGTTTAATCATTTTTAATGCTTAAGTAAGTTTTCATCAAATTCATTTAATTGTTTTATGATTAAAAGGAGAATACCTTTGTTTTCATCTTAGATGGAAAAATCAGTCTTAGGAATGGAGTAATAATGACAATGATTCTCAATTTTAAAACTTCTGGAAACATATCAGGCCTACTTCATTACAAAATATAACTTTCTAACAATCGTATTTCAATAGGATTATACCAGCAAAACACCTGACTTTGTTTACCTTCATTTTTTGTAATTGGTGATACATTTGACACTATTGCCATTGGAAATAAAATTTTTATAAACAAATTCATTCAAACTCACCAAATGGAATATATCAAATTTTACAATGTTCACTCGTCCATTTCAAAATAGAACCATGAGCAGTGTGCCACAAGATAGGGGTACCACAAGATAAGTTACCCACAATAGTAGTTCGCCACAAAAACAAAGTGCCACCATAAAAGGTTGCCCCAAGAAACAGGTGTCAGAGGTTGTCACCAGATCAAGGTGTCACAAGAGATAGAGCAGGGTGCCATCAGAGTAGATGGCCACCTGAGAAGGCAGCCACCTCAACAGCCAGACTCAGTGAGGTCTATAGGAATGTCTGAAATGGTGGAAAGGACACCATGGGTTTACCGTACTACGTAACACCAACATTCAGATAACTATGACAGGAAAAGCTTACAAAGAACCTAACATATCATTTAAGAGATGGAATTTCCAAGCAGTGAAAAAATTCACATGTTTGGACAGCACCCTATCCAGGTTAGTAATAATAGATGATGAGAGCAAAAAACAAACTTTCAAAGCAAATGTTGCACTCTGAAGGCTCCGAAAGAGTTTTTGGGAGTGAAGGGGTCAGCGAGATGTGTACAGCAGACATGCTAGAAAAAAATAAACCATCTCCGCTTATGCAGTCTATGTAAACTTCTGGCATAGATTCAGGACGATGTCTTGATACAGAAGTTCTACAACATGGGGACTTTATCCACATACTCCTACAAAAAGAACAAGCCAGATAGTATGTTACCAGAATGCCAGACAGCATACTTCCTAAACAAGTAATTTTCAGTGAACTCTCCAGAGGGAAACACTCTGCTGGTAGGCAGAAAAAACACTTTAACCTTCCGGCGGGCGCGCTCTTTTTGCAACAAGACCTGGCGTGGTGTATTAATTTGATATTGCTAATGAGTGACTGGTTAAAAAAGTTCATTTTATTGAAATTTTGGCAAATAATTTATTTTTAATTAATTTAACCAACATACAATATAAAATTTTTAAAAAATTTCCTCTATATCCTTGAGATTCTTAAAATCAAACATTTTCCTACCACCCGCCATGTTAGACAGCAAATTTAATCTGAAATATATAATATAAGGGTCAGTATAAATACTATTTAATAATAAAATGAGTAAAACAGAGTATGGTTAAACCTGAAAAATTAAACGCAACAAAACAGCGAACGTGTCGGCAGAAAGCCTTCGTCAGCGAACAAAACAACAATAGGCTAAATTTAATTTATTTGTCAACATTTCACATTTTTATGATTTTTTTTTTGTTAAAATAATTTAATAATTATTGAGACATTTTGGCAATCCTCCGAAGTCCGGTCCCAAATTATTTCCAATGATTAAGCCTTACTAAAAGTCTTGGGCATCATTCTGTTTTGAAACTCATGTTTGCGTTAGTGGACGATGTTAGATGGAGGTTGTTGGCCGTCCAGATGCACAAACAATCGAGCGCATTATCACTAATCATGTGTTACCAGGAACAACTACCGTCACGGATGCTTGGCAAGGATATAAAAATATCGGTCAGCTCAACAACGGGATTTATGCTCACGCTGTCATTGTGCACGAGCGTGAATTTGTTGATCCAGTAGACCAGGAGATTCACACAGAAACTATTGAAGGAATTTGGATGCAAGCAAAACGTAAACTCCGCTATCAGAGTGGTAGGCCCGCTATCAGAGTGGTAGGCCCGCTAGTCGCGATCTGTTTGCCAGCTACTTGGGGGCCTTTCAGTGGCGCAACAGTCACCAGCAGAACTTTTTTGGCTGGTATTTGCAAATGCTATGTGCCAATGACAACATTTAGCATTTACTGACTGGTTTGTAAAGTTACAGTTATTTGCAAAAGCTATGACTGACATTTCTGCTGTTTTCTAACAATACACACAGTGCATTGCAGTTTTTTTCATACGAAATAATTTGGGATCGGACTTCCGAGGATTGCGGACATTTTTGTCTTAGTACTCTTAGTCTTAGTCAACTCCTTGATTAAAGTTGGGCTTTCCTTAAAGTTGCATCATTTGAATTAATAATTAATTTAATAGCGTTGTTTTCATTGTAGTGCATGGTTAATAAGCATCGCAGATCAGATAAATGGGCAGTCGGGATTGTTACCTGCTTCTTATTCCGAATTGATTTTGAAGAGCAGTCAATAAAAACAAAACAAAGAGGACATCGTTTTTGAGTTTCTTCACAACATCCTGTTACATTTTAGTATTTTTTCTTTTCTTGCCAATAAGAGTTCCAGAAAAGTGGGTGGGATTACACTTAAAGTTCACGTACAAACTCATTACATATTTTTTTTTTTAATTTGTTTGGATGGATACGCAATGAAATTTAATGCTGAGATTTAAATTGAATGACATGCGTCTTTTTAAAAAAACAATTTTAAGTTTAAGCTCCTAAGATTTGCAAGTAGTTAACAATAAAATAAAAGCGCATATTATAGGGATAGAAAACTAATACTACATACTACATGTATAAGTATAGGCCCTCTATTAATATAAAATATTGTTATCATAACAAAACAGGACTAAGTCTAAGTAAAATAATTAAATTATTAATTATTATTTAAGTGTTCAAGATTAATTTAATCATTAAGTTTAAACTGTTGTTATCAATAATCAATATCATCATCATATTATCGTGAAACTGTCAGAGAGTTGGGGGGGGGGGGGGGGGGATAAATTTTTTTTTTTATTATTTTTCTTAATTAAGGAAATATAAATTCTTTAACTTTAAACTCCAATGCCGGTGCTATTTATTTATTTTTGTACAAAACTGATCTGTGAAAATTAAATTAAATTAATTAATTAAATAATGCACTAATAAAAGACGTAAACATAATATTTAAATCAATGACGTAGGAGCAGGGTGTGGCCTTCCCCGGGTGACATTCTTTTGGAGACTGGAATTTTCGTCCAACTCATATACTCTGCGGTATAGTCTGTATGTTGTATGGCTTTCATGAGTGAGGGGTGGCAAAGTAAAATAACCACATAGGGGCTTAAAACTCTGGCTACCCATGACCCACTAGTAGTTCTAATAGGTCGTGGGCTAGCCCACTTGGATCCAACAACAAATGATAATATATAAGGAAAAGCGTTCAAGCCCTGTGAAGTAAATAAATAGTAGAACTCGATTTGTTTAGGCTTTAAAAAAAAAAAAAAAAGGAAAATTGACAGGATGTTTCGTTTCTTTTTTTTTTTTTTTTCTTTTTTTATCTAAAAGGTCGTGGGCTAGCCCACTTGGATCCAAAAACAAATAATAATATATAAGGAAAAGCGTTCAAGCCCTGAGAAGTAAATAAATAGTAGAACTCGATTTGTTTAGGCTTTAAAAAAAAAAAAAAAAAGGAAAATTGAAC